AGTAGTAGTGATATATCGGTGAAGTGCAGGGGGGACCCTAGGAATAATAATCTAATTGGTTGACGGTGGCATTATTAGCCTAAATAGGCAAGGGGGGCCCTAACTCAGTCCTCATCAGGTTGGATCAAGTCCGATTCTTTCATGGGAACATCCAGCTGGACAGCTGCCTGTCGCGTTGAGCTCAACAGTGCGACTCTCCGCCCGACAGGCTCAAACAACAAATCCACAGCTGCGCGCCCTGGACACTGCAGGGTCTGACCCTCGGATGCCTCGAGGCAAACACAGCTCCGGAAGCAAGCTGCGAACTGCGAGAGTGGGTCGCTCTGGCCTCTGGAGCTTCCCGCGTGCGGGGCCACAAAGCATACAAACCTGGGGGCAAAAGCTGAAATCGGAAGTTTCAGTGTAAGTGATTTTTGACATGTCCCGCGCTTCTCGAACGCAGCCCAAACCAGCATCCATCGAAAGGTCTGCTGAATCGGAATGACTCTGCGCGCTGCATGAGTCTGAGGTGTCGACGGCCTTGCCACTCCAAGATACAAAGCAACTGCCAACAAGGTTGGCAAAATCAATCGCAAAGGCCTCAGTGCAAAGAAGCTCCGGACAAGGCTCGACCACTCCATGATGCAAGCTGCTTCGCCTTGACATCGGTACTGGCACCTCGGTAATACCAAGTCTGCCATCCGCAACCTGACGATATCTGACGCACAATGCACGCCATCATTCTGAGGCCGCTGCCCCGAGCCGCAATTGCACTCTGAAAGAGAACAGTTGAGCTTCCACGAAATGGCGACCCGGAACTCTCGGTCAAAATTCATGCTCAATAACGCAGCTTTCGAACTGTATGCCGCAGCTGGAAGGCAATTGTTCGGCCGTCCTGCCCCCCCCCCCCTCACCCCCGACCACCGCCAAATGTTGTGGTTGATTCGACAAACCCAAGTGGAACCTCTTTGGCAAGCGCCAAACATCCGCCTTCTTTCAGGCTGTCAGCTCAGCCTGATGCCAGTTTGATCTGTACAAGTCCAGCAACAGCCTATGAATCCATGGCGAGCTGGAAAAGCTTTGTAGTCATGGCTCGACAGATTAAACAGTTTTTGCCGTAGCTCCCGGTCGCTACTTCATGCCTTACATTGGGATAACTGCAGCGGCATCTTAATCTACACTTAATCTACATGTCCATTGCAGCGGCAATGAAGACCCAAATGCTCAGCACCTCAGCTTTTCGTGGGTGCTGATTGAAACATTGAAACCTGCACATCTCCTGAGACACGAGCCCCTGCGGCATAAGGAAAGATCCTGACCTCCAAGCCAGGCTCAGCTCTTAGCCGTACTTTGCAAAGGAGTCAAGCCCCCCTCCCCCCGCCTTAAGCGCATAATCGGCCTGGTCTCCACCCAGCTCCAAGATGCGAGACTGGTAGATGGCATCCCAGATGAGGCTGTTCAAGAGAGATCAAGGCAGTTGCAAAGGAGTCGTGGTCAAACAAACGGTTTCAAAATCTCGTGCTTGCAAAGAGCTCGAGCCTGTAGTCTTTGTACGGCTCATTGAAGGGCAGGCCGAAAACACTACGCCTGGCATGCGGCCACTCAAAGTTTCACTTTGCTTCCTTAGCGGCCCTCGCAGCTTGTCGCATCCCTCTGCGTAACATCGACTGGGGGTCTCACCCAGGCCGCCCCATCCTCCTGAAATCGTTCTCGATTTCGTGCATTTGTGCCTCGATGGCCTGCTGATCCGCGAGACGGTGCAAGCCAGGATTGGTCGGGCTTCACGGAACTTCACGGGCATCTGGCCTCAAGCGTTACCGGTGGTGTCGCATGCGACCTCCCAGAGCAACCACAATGAAGCCATATCTCGAGCTCACTCGATGCGGTTGCGCACTTCAGGGGAAAGCCCGACTCGTGGCCACTTCGGCGGGCACCTCGCAAAGACGCGAGGCGTCGAACGAGCGCACGAGACAAGCTACCTAAACCCTAAACCCTAAACCCCAACCCCAGACCCGAAACCTTAAACCCTGAACCCGCAACCCTGAACCTGAAACCCTAAACCTAAACCCTTCGACGCAGCTGAGAGTGCAGACTGTTTGCCAGGGTCTCCAGCCCTTCCAGGAGCTGGCCCAGCCTGTTTTGTGTCGACAAGTGCCAGCATGGACAACAGACTCTGTGCACGATGAAATTCTGGACGGCTCAGATACTGCGTGTATTCTATTACCAGACTACTTTGTTGATGCGTGTGCGTGCGTATGTATGTACGCATGCATGTATGTACGTGTGCATGC